TCTGACTTCAAACAACCATGACCCCACTGTATGTCATATTTGACCACTTTCATAGTACTCATCTTACTCTCGGCATTTTGACACCTTGAAGTTCCTCATCTTCTTTGTGAAGCCCGAATGCAGCTAAAGGATTAATGATAACTATCAAAAAGCTTGCCACTTGAAATAACCAAATGCTTTAATATAATAACAAGTCCACTTCAGCCCACCCCACACACTGTTACAAAATGAATAGGTGTAAAAATATTTTTCAGTCCATGAGTGCTGAAGGTAAATATTTAGTAATTAATCTCTTTCCTTAGGACTGTATATAGTTTGGTCCTGATAATATATATATATATATATATATATATATATATTGTGGCAGGCTTTCCTCAGAAAATGGGAATTAGTTTTATCACTACTCTGTACACGCAGAATAAGATCATCTTAAAATTCGCAGTCAGAACAAACTTTTTTCGCCGAGCTTCTTGCTTCAAAGTACTATCAGAATAAAATACCAAGTTTAAAATAAAATAATTTTGATTTATTTGCACTTATTTTTTCCATAATTTTATGCGCCTATCTGAATTGTAATAACAGGCCAAGCAAATATAGAGCATAAACAATTTTATTGCCTCTCCGAAACATTGCAGTTTGTTTTGCTTCAATGTTCTTTAAATCTGACATTTTTAAGCCTATCGTTTCGTGGTTAGCGCGTTCTTAAATATCCTATCAGAGAGATCACGGAGTTAATAGAAAATGTTAATATCATAGAAAAGCGTATTAGGTCCTACAAACATTATATTGTTATGACCATAATGTAAGCATTGAAAAGCATTAAATATACGTGTTTTCTCATATCATTAAGCTCTGGTTTTACCATTGTTAGTATTTGTCATCATTAACGAATTTTTGTTTCCAAGAACTGACATTTTAAAATAAAATTTCCCTTAAATGAACTAAAATTAGAAAAAGATTTTCCATAATTTAATTTGCACAAGTATAAAATTGTCGAAATTTCAAGTGGTTTCCATCCCTATTTTGAAAAAAAAACTGGAGCTTTACTTTGAAATGCTGAATGTTTGCTTTCAGAAAAATAAAATTACTTTTAATATGAGTATTCAATTCCAAACGTAATTTGTGAGGTCGAAGATGAGAGAAAAAATTTCTCTGAAAAATAAATGATAAAATTGTCCTTTAATTATCCTAAATATAAAGGAATAAATTTTTGTCAAATTGCAGAAAGATTTAGAAAAAATTAGACAAGACAAGCCAGTTCAAAATGATTCAAAAATGATTTCTTCTAAAGAAAATTTTTCAGCCTTCTGTGTCTACAGATTCTTAGTTTCCATTATTACCAGTAAAACATCTTTTATTCGTAAAATCTATTCTCTTCCTCTTTTGGAAGGTAGTAACCTTCAGACGTTGCAATTGCAAAAAAAGTTAACATTTTGAAATACCCTCGAGCTTTTTTGCTCCACGGAACAGATTAACCTACATTTTATGTCCAACCACTGAAATTTATTAGTCGATAAATGTGCGTAACGTCACTTATGAATTTCAAAGTAAACTACCTAAATCAATACTGTGAAACAATATGAATCACTGAATCTCGATGCAAGCTTCTGAATAAAATATCAAAGACGGTTAAACTCCTTTGATGATGAAATTTGCTTCTTAAATGTAAAAATCATCCCACTGGAGAGGTATAGAAGACTTTTATATGCGTTTTCACTCCTACTTAAAAATAGCAGTGTTTTAGTTCTCAGTATTTTACTGGAGTAAAGCGAGATTTAATGAAATGACCGTAAATTAGAAGTTTTAATGGGTAAAACGAGATAAAATGAAGTGCACTTATATTCAGACAAAAGAGAAACAAATGTATGCAATGAAAGGTTGGGTTATGTCATCTTGTCTGAATGACGAAAGCTGCCGAGTGAAATCCACCCCCTCCCCTGTGGTAGGCAGCGGTTCGCACTAACTTGTGTCATCCTAGTTACTTCATATTTTGCCAGCCGCTTATTTAACAAACTTTGAATTTTGAAGAAATGGGGTGTGAGATTGACTTACCTCCACGTGGTGCACCTTGGGCAACGTATACTCACACCTTACCTCCACGTGGTGCACCCTGGGCAACGTATTCTCATTCGGCTACCTCCACGTGGTGCACCCTGGGCAATGTATACTCATACACCTCCACGTGGTGCACCCTGGGCAACGTATACTCACGATAGACTTACCTCCAGGTGGTGCACCCTGGACAACGTATACTCAAACGGCACGTGGTGCACCCTGGGCAACGTATACTCATACGGCTCCACGTGGTGCACCTTGGGCAACGTATACTCATACGGCTAAAATGTCTATAAACCGGCAGTTGACTTCTGACTTCAAACTACTATGACCCTACTGTATGTCATATTCGACCTCTTCTACAGCTCTCATCTTACCTTTTCTCTACCTTCGTCTTTGAAACACTCTTCTGTCCCCCCCCCGTCTCGACTTTCCTTTACTTTGATGTCTCTCCCGAATCGCTCTTCTTTCCTCCCTATCATTTCTTCGCACTTTAATGCTCCTACCTTCTGTGAAGCCCGAAGTCAACTAAAGGGCTAATGATAACCGTCAAAACGCCTGCCATTTGATATGAATAAATAAATTTTGGAGAAATAAGGCACTTTCTGTCATGGACACGTGTTTCCTATATGAATTCTATTTATATATTTGTCCAGTGATTTTGTAGTTACCTCGATTTCTTTCAACATACCTCATTCGTCCATTTTTTCCATTTAAATATAATCTTTATTCTTATGATATTTGTATGCTATTAACCAAATTATACAACTTTTTCAATAAAGAATACCAATATTTTAACAGGGCCGAAATAAAAACTAAATAAATATTTTGTTTTAAAAATGAACTGCTTTTTATTTTAAAAATACTTATTTAAACTAACAAGCTAGGCCCATATAAAATTTTACGTGATATAAATCTGCACTTTTTGTGCCGATTTAATATATGAAAATAAAATTTTATAATCATTGCTCATCTTTTTAAAAGATGCACGAAATCCGCAACTTTGACAGATTTAAGTATATATGGCTAGACCAGATGCATGACCACTCTCCCTAAGTGGCCAATTCTAAACGTGCTGCATTTGCATTGGCTAGTTCAGCTAAATGTCGTTCATGCCAGTATGATTGCACAAAGCAACAATTTCCTTGTGTCAGAATACGAAACTTCATATAGTGCATTCAACATTTGACTTATTGACTGGGTATTATAAATATGCCTCATCGATTACAATCTTTCGTTTGTGGATAATGCAAACATTAATTATCCTCCATCTAAGTCTGCTTTATACTCTAGTAACTACAACAGATTTCAGCGGTCCTGCGGTTGTCTTGAAAGATGCTTTATCGACTCTGGAGTATGCTGGCATTTCTCTTCTTCCAGAAACTTCAATCTATCTTGAATTCTATGGACATACACTACAGGGTCGTCTTCTTTATGCTGAAAATCCATCGGTGGGAACCTTCATATCGCTTAGAATTAATCGACCCGGAATGTTGCGCTTCGAAATGAAACTGCCAGCAACAAACCGCAGTCATCAGTTTACCATTTTAAGTGCAAAACTAGATCATCGCGCAGATAACTGGCATAGTGCTACTATACACATCTCTTTGACCAAAATGCTAACTGTTCTTTATGTAGATGGAAGCAATGCCTATCCAGCTCATCTGACGGATAAGGTGCCTGATACGGCAATGAATGCCTTTGGCGACTATCTGTATATCGGTCGTCTGCCACCTTACTTGATATCAGACTCCACCAAGGTGGTGCATTTTACCGCAGCGATTGAAACGTCATTTGTGGGTATTATAAGAAATATATTTGTAAATAGTCGTGGTCTAATACCTTTAAACGCTTACAATGGCGCTGAAATTACCGCTGGATTATCTTCCTGCTATTTGTTGGACCGACGAAAACGCAAGGCTTTGAAGACATTCAATATTTGCCCTCCTACAGCAGATTGCTTAGATAGCTCTAGCGGACCTACATGTGGATGTACCAAAGAAAGTCGGAGACAGTGGATTTGCCAATACAGTAAGTGAAGGGCCACTCACTAAGTTTAATAATAAAATCATTGAAAGTATTATCAATGCATTGATTTAAATATATATAATTATGAATAGATTTAAATATAAGATATGACGCGTGTTATATCAAACCCATTTTCATATAAATCGTATTACATTTCTTATTATTGATAAACAATTAGTTTTCTCAATTTTCAAATTAATGTAAGTATTTTTTCGCCAAATTTTTATGCAAAATTTAAATCAATATTTCTTCCACTGAATTGTCTAATGGCTTTTAACATATTACATATATTTAAATGGATTTGTGCTATTAATTAAATACTAATTATCAATACAATTTGTACATAATTTAATTTTGAGGTGAATGGGAAATTTATCACGTAGGTCAAATTCGTAGTGATTAATGGTTGGATTTTAGTTATATATTGTTAAAAAATATCATTATATGCCATTCATTTTGAAAAGGCAAATAATATAGGCTTTATTCAATTATGCTATCTTTATTAAATAAATGTATCAATTAAAATTAAATTGCCAATATATGATATTTTTATTGCTTTGGAAATGAAAATAAATCGACGTAAGCAAATGTAGCATGGCTCATGTCTTATGTACTTAATATAAAATATATTTAGGAAGTATAATACTAGCGAATATCAGAAAATAGGTACTCAAACCGTTTTACCGGCTTTCGCATTATAAATTGTTCACGTAATAAATTTGTCAATTATTTAAATGAAAAAGAGAATGCGAGCGGGATTCTTTTTCTTCATTATTTATAAATCCATGAACTGGGGAGAAAAATGAAGATTTTCTATTTGGATTCTGCAAGTGGCTCCTTCAGAAAGAACTTCTTTCTTAATTCGTTTTTAAAAGTACACAAATCTCACAATTGCCAAAGCTCGTCCTTCCCAAAAGATTTAATCCATATAAAATTGAAAGAAAATAAAAATATCTTTGAATTTCTTTGAACTTGTATAAATCTGTATACTAAGAACAATTGTTTAGAAGTGCAGCCTTCCCTATCTACAAGTGACAGAAAAAGGTTGAATATTTCTTAGTGTATTTACCTACTCTAGTTCAATTACGCAATCTAACCAGCAAGCTTATCAGTATGTACTTAAGGCAATGGCATCATCAATGTTAAAAATAATATACAATTCTAATAGCAAATTAAACATATAATGAAATGCGAATTTGGCAGACAAATAAATCCAAACCTTTGTTGCGTATTCACCTCAAAATATATATGAATTAAAATATTTTAGACAATAGGTAAAAAACTCGTCATTTTTATGGGAACATCATAATATCCCACTGAAAATGCGTTTGTTATTATTAAAATTCGAGTTTTTGAGCGATCATTAATAGCTCAGCAGATTAACGTTGTTGTTTGCTAAATTGAAATAATATGTAAAATAAAAAACAAGACAAGCCAATGTCTATTGTATCTTTTTTAAGAAATTTTAAGCGAAGGTTAAACAACGTGCAGTGAAATTAATACTTTTGTTTCATAGATAAACTCCTTCATTATGAATTAAATTTTGATTAGTTATCTTATTATCAAAGGAATACCTAAATCATTTTATTTATTTCAAATTGCAGGCGCCTTGATAGTTATTATTAGTCCTTTAGCTTATTTCTGATATCACAGAGTAGAGGAATATTAAATTTGAAACAATGTCGAGAGGAGGAACAGAATAGTGATTCACATATGTAAACGAGACAGACACAAAGGTAGAGATTAGGTTAAGGTGAGTACTGTGGAAGGGGTCGGATATGGCATTGAATCATTAAAGAATTTACTTCTAGAAAATAAAATTAGCCATCTGTTTTCAAAAAACCCTGTTCATATTCACTTCTGAAATTTAAATGAAACTGTAAAGTCTACTTATTTTATCGTCAAATGATAATATTTTTTATTTCACAAAACATCAATTTAGATTAGTACCAATGACAACGTGGCCTTTATTATTTGATATATTTGATTTTGAAAAAATTATGCCTACGCAATAGACGAATTTGTATTCATGAAAAGTTTTATTGTATATTTGCAGTTCAAAATCCCTACTGGTGGAATTAGTTTATCACCAAAGAATGCTTAGTGTTATCCACCCATTTACTCATTTATGCTTGTTAGGGAAATATAAAAATTACAACTCTTTAATAGGCTTGGATAGCAATCCAGGCAATAAAAAGGATCAGCAACTTCGTTAGCGGCCATATATTTAGAAAATAATTTTATGCTTCCAGGAGTAAATTGTAAATTATTAGCACATTAGCCGCCAGATATAATCAAATTTAACCCGGTACTTATGCGCTTTAGAAAAAATTCCCACAAGTAATCCTTTTTCAATTTACACTGATTTGGAACTTAGCTGCTGATACTAATGTTAATGGTATTTATTATACAAATAGCATGTTAGTCAACTTCATTCATCGGGAATTAATCATAGATTCAGTCTTTTATGCAAAACAATTGATAAAAGTGAAATTTTAATCGTATTTCCCACTTTTGAAAGAAATGAAATCCCTGATTTACTTATTTAGGTTTTCTGAATATTTATTTATTTATTTCAAATGGCAGGGGTTTTGATAGATATCATTAGCCATTTAGCTGGCTTCGGGCTTCACATGCGGGAGGTTCATCAAAGTAGCAGAAAGTCGAGGGATGGGGAAGAGAAGAGCGATTCACAGATGTAAAAGAGGCAGACAGACACAAAGGTAGAGAAAAAGGTAAGATGTAAAAGGGGTCGAATATGGCAAGTAGTCGGGACATGGTAGTTTAAAGTCAGAAGTCAACTGCCGGTTAATAGACTTTTTTGCCGTATGAGTATACGTTGCCCAGGGTGCACCACGTGGAGGTAAGTC